CAAATAAATAAATACTAGATAGATAGATAGATAGATAGATAGATAGATAGATACATAGATACATAGATAGGTAGATAGATAGATAGACAGATAGATAGAAAGAAAGAAGACATGAAGGGTCACAGCATTTGCCCATGACCATGATTAAAACCACTGGTTCTTCAACCTGGGTGCATATTACAATCACCAGAGAACTTTAAAAACAAACCAAAATAAGCAAGCAAAAATAATTCACCCCTTCCAAAACATAAACAAGAAATACTATTGTGAATTACTTCAAAAATAATCCAGGATCGACAGTGTGGAGAAGTGAGTGGAAGTAAAGATGAAATACAATTAGCCGTGAGTTGATAATTAGATTCATTATACTATTCTCTCTACTTTAATATTTGTTTAAAATTATTCATAATAAAATATTGTGTTTTTTTAAAGACTAGTGCCACATCTCTATCATCCAGTAATAATGATTTAATTGGTTTTGGTGACTGGTATCTTCCCAGATGATTTTAAAATAACACCACCAGCAACCACAATACTTCTTAATGTGTTCAAAGTTTATAGCTTATTGACACATTTTTACATCCATGATCTCATTTCATCCTTTACCTCTTAAAATACGGAGAGTAGTTTTTATGACTCCTATTAAGTTGAACTAATCAAGGCACAGAAAACGTTAAGTCACTGGTCCAGGATCACAGAAATCGTTGAGTGTCAGAGCCAAGGTTAGAGCCTTGGTTTCTATCTCCCCGTGAGTGTTCACCAGTGTGAGAACACCAAGAATGTTCATAAATAGAGGATGGAATTAGAACCCAGAGTCCACACAACACAGTTGTATCACAACTATAGAACCTCGCTGGATATTGGCCTGGCTGAATTCTGAGCATGGTCCCCAGACCAATCTGGCATTTGGAAAGGTGTGGATGTTGGTAGCGTCCCTTATGACTGATGTGTGTTCAGATGTGGGAAAAGAGCAAAGACAAATAAAGCCACATCCTCTGGCCATATTCCTACCATCCATACCTTAGCATCTTTTGTCTCCTATCTTTCCTAAGATTATCTCCATCCTCTTTATGAAGCTTGTGCCCTTTTGTTTTTTGACTTTAGAAAACACGCCCACTGCATAGACATGCATTTGCCGTGGCAACACCCCTCCTCACTGCTACTTTTTGCCACCCTAAATATCATCCTTGTTATCATGGATTTCCTCAAGTGAGCCGAGGTTGTATATGACAAATCAGCTCTGCCTAGAGCATAATGTCATGAATCTGAGCTAGAAATTGAGGCATAGGGATCTCCACTATCTTGTCCTCAGAAAACAGACACAAATCCTGACACTTTTTGCCCAAAAGCCAGTTCACTGAAATATTCCTGCCAGCACATCCAGACCCAAAGAAGCTGCTAATCACCTCAGTGGACTCAGTGCTGCCTCTTCTTCGGTGAATCAGAGTCCATAGTAAAGCCACCAGCAGTGCTGTGGCCACCAGGGACGGGATACCTGCGGCTAATCCAAGAGAGGGCCCACAGTCCTGGCACAGAGAGAAAAGCAGAGTCAGCTTCCACAAGAAGAAAAAATTTGATTGATTAAAAATAAAACAAAACAAAAATCTCAGAGACCCTATATACAAAATCAAAAGGGTAATGAAGTACTGTGAAAAATGCAGTGTACATTAGAAATGACTCATTTTCATAGTATTTAATTTATATAGTTTAAATCGATTGGAAAAAGGTGATAATCTAGTAGAAAAATGGGCAAAGGATATGAACAGTCCATTCCTAAGAACAGAAATACGAATGTCTCATCGACATCGAAAAAGCTGAGATACAATTCTAAGCAACAATTGGATACCATATTTACCTATCAATTTGGCAAAAAGTAAAATGTTTTATTACATCCCACGCTATTTTGATGTGAATTTAAAAAAAATTTATTTACACTAAATGCATTAATTAATTTTCAAATTCCCGTTATTACTTTTATCTGAGCGGAAATAGTCATACTTGTAGCCACATAAATCTTCGGATTTGCAGATTATCTGGAATATCCAAGATAATCTGCAAATTAGCTATAAGTGTATAATTCTCATATATAACATAAAGTATATAGATCATGAATATACAGCTTGATGACTTTTCACATGATGAATCCATCCATGTAACCAGCACCCAAATGAGGAAACAGAACATTGCCAACACCCAAGAAAGGCCCCTCATGCTCCCTTCCAGTCACCCCATGTATAACCACGATCCAGAGATCTATCCTTGTAGATTAGTTTTGTCTGTTTTTCAACATCATCTAGATGCACACAGCAAGTATGTTAAGACAGTTAGTCCTCACTTAACGGTGTCAATAGGTTCTTGGAACTTTGGAGAAATAATGTATAATGAAACCAATTTTACCATGGACTAATTAACATAAACAAGAGTTCTTATAGCATCTCATCAATGTCAAAATGAAACAACATTCAACTAAACGACCTTATTCCAGGACCTGCCATACTCTTTTTGTGTCTAGCTTCTTTTGCTCAACACTTTGTGAAACCCATCTGCGATTTTGTACGCTCTCCCCACTTTTGAGCTGAGATGGTCATAAGAATTATAGTTGAGCCAGATTCTGTGTTTGGTGACAGTTCACACATCAAACTTTACCTAATCCTCAGAACAAATGCATGAGATGGGTAGAGCATTGTTAATCTCATTTTATAAATGACCAAACCAAGGCTCCAAAATTTAAGTAGCGTACTTACTGCTTCTTTCCCACCTGTAACAACTGGAGAGGAAGTCTGTGTGGAAAAAGAACATACATCTTAAGAAAAAAAAAAATCTACGTAATGCATATTATATAAGACAGTCAAAGGTGAAGCTATATGCCTAAAGTTCACCCCTTTGCTAAACATTCTATTAAAAACAATAAATGACAATTGCCCAATGGAACCTTACTTGATTGCTTCCTCAATAAGGAATGAAATTTGGTTATGAGGAGAGAGAATTCAGAAACTCAGCTGAGGTCTTTGTTTTTCACCCCCGTGGACTTGCCATAACACCTTTTTGCAACTCGAAGAGGCTTTCTCCTGTCCCTAGCTAGTACCCACATCCTTCTCAGCACTCTTTGAGCCTACCTGCTAGAGGGAAAAAAATATAAAGACAGGCGGAAGCGAGGCTCTTTAATTATCCTGTATTATTTTCAAACATGCAACGAAGCAAATGGCTTTGGGGGGATCTGCAGTTGTGAACCATGCATGTTCCTGGGGTAATTCCACATTGAATGGATACACTGCATGTTTCTGTTTCACATCTCCACTTAAGAAGGGCCACTGGATCACACCATTTTTGAGCTATTTCAGGTGACCTTACCTGGATCAGTAAATCTCAGAGTAGTGATTTATTATGCATTTGCAACTAGCCCATGTAAACTATGGTAAGTGGTGTGATGTGGGGTTGAGTGTAGGTCCTGGGCTCGCTGCCTGAAGTGGAACGGCGATGTCCTGACTCACAGGTTAAGGGTCCTCATTTCTTCATCTATAAAATAAGGACGTTAGAACCTATTCCTAGAGCTGTTATGAGCACCAGAGTATAAGCTTTTGTCATCCCTTTAAACTTGGCAAAGCTCTGTGCAGACCTATTATTAATTTAATGTTATCATCAACCTCCGTGAGTACATTTGAGTCCCTGGGACTTAAGCTTTTGACAATTATTGTCTACTGACAAAAAGAAGAAAAAAAGGAACTAGATCTCAGAGAATTTATGGGCTTTTGTCCAAGGTTCCTCAGATAACCATAAATCTAACTTGAATTTGAGTGTTCCAAGCCTAGGCCTCTTTCCCAGAGAGCTCCCACCAAAGGAGAAATGCTATAAAGGAAGTATTAACACTTGGTACTTAAATGGTTACAGTTTTATCTAAATACAACCTAATCCCCGACACTACTATATTACCTTAATGCTGCATTTGCCTAAAGCGTTCAGTTTCTCTGGGTTGTGGTAAGAGTTGAATATCTTTTCAGGTAAGATGTTCTATCTTCAGGTTACACAAATTTACAGGGGCTGGCTCTGATCCCCCAAACAGGAGTTAACTCTAAGGATTCGGGGATGCTTCATGGAGCCTCAGAGTGGTGGGAATCTAGTTTCTCCAGGGACCAGAGCTAGGGACTAGGAACTTGCCAGGACCAAAGCCATCCCTTCTGGGAATCTCTCCATCTCTCGGCCTTTCACTTATACTCTGCTTTGTATATTTGCTTTCTTCTTCCTCTCTCAAGATGAATTTTCCTGCCCTCATGAACACCTGCTAATTGTACCAGCTAATGATTATGGAGTACTTACTATGTGCCAGGCTATTGAAGTAATTTTCCTGTATTGGCTCATTTATTCTTCACAACAGCCAGTGAAGCAGGATTATAATCCCCATTTTTACAGATGAGAAGAGGCACAGAGCAGTGAAGTAACTCGTGTGAAGTCACACAGCCCTGAGTGGCAGATGCCAAGTAGTCTGGTTCCAGAGTCCAAGGTCTTATCCATTGTGCTACACTGTCTTCCATGACCAAATGCGGCACCTTAACTCAAGTTTTGTACTTGACAGTTCCATATGGCCTGCCAGGGACCGTCTTGCATATCTGGTCCTGTTTCCAACTCCTCGCAGAGGCTCTGATGAGCTTGTAGCCACTTCTCTCCCCACCTCCCAGTGCACTGGCATTCGGCTGCACCAAAAGGGAAGGTTTATGTGGTGGAAACCTAACCGCCAGGTAGGGTGACCAACTGTCCTTGTTTTCCAGAGATTGCCTAGGTTGTAGCACATTCAGTGCTAAAACCAGACAGTCCCAGGCAGACCAGGATGGTTGATCAACCTACACAAGTTCAAAGGGAGGAAGGGACGGTTCTCAGGGCTGCTAACAAAGGAGGTACTGCAAAAGGTGACAACTAGCATCATAAGGACCTTTCTCTCACCTCACTCACCTCTGTTGCCCAAGCAATGGCTTCTTACTTCTGAATTCTCTTCATAGGGTAGGCCAAGGCAGGATAAGGCACAACCCAGGGGCTCTACAGACTTGCTAAATTCGAGCAGCCAGGGGGAAGGTTCCAGCAGTGACCATATTAAAAGATTTTAATAGTTAAAGGATAGCGGAATTTGTCTGCAGACAACAGGCAGAACTAAAGCAGGAAGCAGAGTGAGCCAGGGAGGTTCAGAAGGAAGGGCCCTACCAGGTGGGTGGAGTGGGGGCCAGAGGAGTCAGGGGACAGATGTCCAGAGCAGCCAGCAGTGGGCACCAGAAGGCGGGCAGTGAGTCACAAGGTTCTACTTCCCTGCGGCTCTCCAGAACCATGCCCCCACGTTACAGTAAACATGAGCCCTGGCTATGTTTCCTCTTACCAGATAAACTCAGCTTATTCTCTTTAAATAACCATATAAATTATCAGAAACATTTGGCACAGCCAAACTCACAAAAACTGGGCCGGGACAATGCCCAGTTCAACCACAGTAGCACTACTGGTCAAAAACCAGCCCTGGCTGTTTCCTCTCTCCACAGCGTGAGAACGATGATAAAAGATCAGTTCTGGATTGAAACTAAAATTTTTATTCTTACTTGCAGCTAAATGGAACGATGATAAAAGATCAGTTCTGGATTGAAACTATATGCCAATATCAACTGAAATTTTTATTCTTACTTGCAGCTAAATCTCATAATCAAGAGCCCCAAAACGTTCATTCTTGTTGACCAAAAATTCCCCTTCTAGACTATATACTAAGGAAATCATCTTAAGGGCAGATAAAGATTGGCCTATACCTGTGTTTATCACAAAATTATTCCTAACTGTGATTAAGCAATTAGGAAAATAATTCACTTGAAGAAGTATCACTTGGCCATCCTCAGTTATGGTTATAACAGCTGATGGAAAACACTACATGTAAAATTATAGGTAGAGTCAGACACAATGGTACAAAGACAACCAACGTCAAAATCTACTCAGACAGGACTGAAGGGAGTGATATTTTCTGCTGATGGGAATTTGAGTGGGTCTTTTATTTTTCTTTTTTATTGTTTTCCTTTACAACGTGTATATTTGTAGTTTTCATAATTGAAAACATTTCTCTCAGCGTCCTCCAACTCTTTATAAGTGCCTTCGAAGAACTGTGTACCTTATCACTCTACATGAGGTTGATGTGACGGCGTTTTGGAGGCCTAGGATAAGGTGTGCATTGATGTCTTCTGACTTACCTGGTGAGTGAGGACTGCTGTACTTACCGTATTGGCCGGCAGTGTGAAGTTTAGTGAAAAACTCTACAAAAAAGAAGAAAACATGAAAACTCCCGAGAATGGTCAGCCAGGCTCCTGACTCCTCCATTAATGTCACTGATCCTGGCAGACTCCAAGAGAACTTACTTGTCTCACAGGCTGTCAGCCCCAATGTCCGCTTCTAAACTTGGCCCCCAAAGAGGGCAGAGGAACGGAGGAGCCTGAGGTCATTGGTTCCTCCCTCAGCGCTGAGTCAGTCTTGCCCCCTCTCCTCTCCCAGGTCCTAGACAAGGCCCAGACTAAGGGCTAGCCAGCAGTGCCATTGCCTGCAGGATCCCGATCCACAAGCGTAGCAAAAACATTACAAGAAATTCAGCAAAGTGCTAACGATTTTTTTTTTTTTGCCCCCCACCACCCCCACCCCACCCAGGAACTTTTAGGGAGGAAACTGTGTGAATTTAGATGTACTTGGTACTTCCTGCTTGGGATAGAAAGATCCCCAAGGGGCATGCTCCAACAAGAAACCTGCTTCTTAAAACCCCTTCCCAGGAGGGAGAATCTGAGGAAGACAAGGCCTATGTTTTTGCTGAGTCCAAGGCAGAGGTTCTGAGCTGGAGCTGAGCTAGTCAGGACCACAGAAGAAAAGCTAGCCCTTCTCTACCCTCTCCTCGCTCAGCACCCAGCCTCACCTCTCCTCCAAATATGGAGTCAATATTTAAAGATCGTGGGCTCGACGGGGCACCAAATTGTTAGTCTATCCCGGTGCCCACATATCAGGGTCTGTCCCTACCAAGGGCCTCTACTGGCTCCTTCCTCCTCCCCGGCCCCACCTGTCACTGCAGTTAGGGCTCAATGATGCCAGTCTTTCTGCTATCATTTTTTACCAAGACCAAGACAGACATTTTTCTAGGACAACGTTAGAGCAAGTGGGCCATCATCGTAGGTTAGGTTCTTCCTGCTCAGGGGACCCAAGCACTGCCCTTCATGCTAACACCAACCAAGCCCACACTTGCTGGTCACGGCATTGAATACAGCTGCCCAGAGCTTTATCTCATCAGCGAGTACTGGGTACTGATGTCAACAGGCCCAAGACAAAGCTGCCTTTGGAGGAACAGCAGAAGGGACGGACAGCGACAAGCAAGCCATTGCAAGTGCTGTTTATCGATATTTGGATGACGGAGATTTTGGCCAATTTCAGAAATACATTTATATTTTTAGAAACACTACAGTGCTCTCATGGAGAGAAAAACATCACGTAAATTTGGGCGCAGAAGAATCTGACACAGTGTTCTTTAGAGAAGCAGCTGGGAGGGGTGAGGCAACCCTGGGTTTGGAGTTATCTCATTTGGATTCAAATCCAGACTCAGTCACTTAGTAGCTGTGTAGCCTTGCAAACGTGGCACAAACTCTCTGCTCTTTCCTGACAACGAATCTATTCTCCCAGGTTCAGGTTTTCCATCCTCAAAATAGGGATTGATTAACTTGCCCTGCCCATCTCACTGGATGAGCCCAAAGGAAATAACATCTGTAGCAGCTCTGTCCAAACTGTAAAACACTCTAGCTGTGTGAAGGTTCACACGATGTCATATTCTTCAAGACCTGACCAGCACAGAACGATGCTCAGGGAATTCTTGTTGGATGGAACCACACACATGGATCGACAATATTCAAAGTACTGGAATTAGGTACAATACACATTGCTAAAATATAGCATTGTTAGTCTAAGCACAGTAATATCTACATAATGGTTCCGATGGCGCTTTAGGATCTCAGTGGCTAAACGTCACTTGTTGTAAGTTGGCTCTTTGTAAGGGAAAGGAGGGAAAGATGGGATAATTACCCACTGCTCTCGAGGGTGTGCTGTATGTCAGACACTGCACTCATAACCTCCCCATGAGGGGAGTGCTCTCTCCCTACACCCTGGGCAAGGGGACCGACCCAGACAGGTTCCTGAAGGTCACCAGCTGCTAAGTGGTAGAGGCTGGTCATAGATCTTCCTAACTCCAAAGCCTGAAATCCACTCCTTTAAATAATCTCTTTCTTAAAGGAATCACGGAAGCCTCTTCTGTTTTCCCTTCTAACTTAGCAAACCTCATTTGATTGAATCGCAACCAAATTTCTATCACAAGTCAATTTTAAAAAAGGTGGAATGTTTCCGATGCAACTTATGAATATCTAGGTTGCTAAACAGATAGCAAAGGGCAGACTGAACAGTAAGAATAAAGGCAGTGACCAGACCCACCGCTTCAAGTGGGAAATGAATGTAGCTGAAGCATCTACTGCGTGAGGGTGTTAGAAACCAAACCTTAATGTTAAAATAAAAGATGAGATCAGCAAATATTTAACAAGAATTTTTTTAATTGTTAGTATTTTTCATATACGTACATCATTTAAAACCAAGTCCCTTGAATTCACTGTACCAAAGATACAGTTATATTAGAATTAGGAGACGTGAGCTTTAAAAGCTTGGGAGTTGTTTCTATAGAGAGGACGAAGGTCAGGCTGAGAAGAGAGGCTAGTTCTGCTCTCACTTACCATTCCGACACCCTCCAAAGAGCCTTCTCCAAACACTGCCGTTGGCAAAGCTCCTTTCTCGCTGGAGATATTGGCTTGTCTCTCACATTTGTAGAAACATCCAGCTGGGAGAGCAAGGGTGACAGGGTAAGAGGTGGCTCCAAGAGAGCCCTGGCCAAGCCATTTATGGTCAGGGGAGTAGCCAAGTCCTCGGCTCATCCCTCGGGGAAGATGGTCTCCTGCTCCATGGCCACTGTGTACGGCCCAGGTCGTCCACCCTCTTTGCCTTTATTTCCTGTCCTCCTTACTTTTCAGGCCCCTTTTTCAGTTGCTCCTTCAACGCAACAAAGAACCCACAGCTGGCCCGAGAGTGTGGAGGCTCCTGCAGCTGGAAGCTCTTTAGAAACAATGGGTTAAACAGGCTGAGGCTGGCTGTTCCTTCCTCAGCTGCCAAGCCTCAGTGTTGACCATGGTCCCAGCAATGACAGAGTCACATGTTACCAGCATCACTGCAGAGGACGCCTGGGAGATGGCTGTTGGAACCTGATCTGTGTTTGAGGCAAGGCTGTAGCTGCCACAGCGAACACACTCCCTGGTGGATGAGCTGCCTGGTGCTGAGTTTGGCCTTGCCCCTTTTCTGTTCTCATGCTTTGAGTGTGGACTCTCCTAGAGCTGGAGGAGGCTGGAAGAAGCTAGCAGACATGGACTGCCTTTTATATCTTATGAGATTTCTGTGAAGAGTTTGCTTCTTTGAAACAGTGAAGAAGTTGGAGTCCCATGCCACCAAAAAACAGAATTAGACCAATGAATTCGATCATTTAAATTAGTACGTTCCTTCACTTATTCAACAAGTCTTCCTGACATCTTCTATCTGCTGAGCATTACTCTGGGCGCTGTTCTCAGCATTGGTGATGAAGACCACTGAAGCCTCACCTCGTGGGGAATGTACCAGCAAGAGCAGGCAGACGACAATCAGAACAGGTGAAACCACTGTGGAGGAGCAAACGGGGGAAGGGAAGAGTGAGCAGGGCGACCTGGAGGCAGTCGCTGTAGCTGTCCAGAGAGGTGACATTTAAGCTGTGTGCGAAAGATGAGGAGAGGGTCTCAGGCAGAGGGAAGAGCAAACTCAAAGCCTGGGGGCTGAAGCAGGCACCCTTGTACCTGGAGAAGGGAAAACTAGGGAGAGACCCCAGAAGGGGTTAAGGACAGAGTAAGTTAGGGACCTATAATGTGAGCGTGGCAGGGCACAGTAAGATTTCTATTGGAGAGCAGTGGGAAGCCTTTCAAGGGTTTTAAGTGGGAGGGGGAGCCCGATCTAACTGATTGTTGACCAAGTTCACCTGGCTTCTCTGTGGATCCTGGATTATAAGGGATGAGAGTGTTAACCCGGAGACTGGTTAGCAGAGGCCGAGTGAGAGATGATGGTGGCTGCCCTAGGATGGGACAGTGGGGACGATGAGCAGTGCGAATGGGTCTGTGACTTATCATGGAGGCAGAGGCAATGAAAGT